TACAGTACGCAAAAATTAAAATATTTTATATTACGAAAATAAAATGGAAACAGATATTATTGCACAGTACTAAGTAACATAAGTTCCGTACAGTATGCATATCTCGGATATCAGTATTTTAAGTTGTACTTAAGTATCAGAGTTAAACCATTCACCTGACGAACATCGGAGCTTTTGGGCATACAATTCTGTCTTTGTTTATGGTATGTTGTGTTAACGCAAATTTCAATATTGCTTACAGTCTCATAATAGAATTCAGATATCGTATTCATATCCTATTTTTAACTCCATTCACGAGGTAGATATGTTACAAGTTAAGGCACATGCTAAAGTAACTCGACGTGGTATTTACTACAAAGTAATGCAACTTTAGGCCAGTGCAATTATACTGGATTCAGAGCCACATTCTGAGGTCAGTACGAAAAATACAAAAGAGGAATTGCATAATAGCGGTAAGTTCTTATATTCTGAAACAAAGATTATTTTTGCAAGGTAGAGTGCTTCTAGGAGGGCAGAGTTTTAAAATACAATAAACAGATCAATACAGATATTGTTACTATCTTAATCGTGTCAGTACATGTGAATGGAAGAAACGTCTTTGAATACGATTGACAACGCTGCTTGATAGGGAATTTGTGCCATTCAATTGGATTCTATTGTGTTATGGTAAACAATTTATTTCTATTGTGATTCTGGATTTACTAATGATTCTGTTCCTAAATTACAGTGTTTGAGTTTAGTATTTGTCTCACTGGTTTAAAAAAAACATCCTATTGGTAAATACAAACTTTTTAAGTGTATAGGCCTATAATGTAGAAGATGTTAATATCTTAAATTAGCCTTCACATCAAAAACTTAATTTTGTCAGAGTGAACAGAATTAGTAGTTGAAAGAGACTGTTAGAATGAGGATTTAAATTTAATTAATTTGTATTTATTTAGCTTTCTGAAAACGTCGTAGGCTAATTGATACATGTAACTTTTTTAAAATATTATGTAAGTATTTATTATTCATTAAGAATACCCTTGTACTATGCCGTATTTATATGCAGTATTTTGTTTATTTTGTTACATTTATAACATTACATTATGTTTTAATGATCGTATCTCCAAATCTTCATCAAATAAATTAGTGTTGTAAGTTGTGACTCACTTGATTAGCATTTTTAACACCAGTGACCCCGTAACCTGTCCTTCCACAGGATATTTAAGTGTCTAAGCTATTCAAACTGCCTTAGAGTGCATCATATCACAGTTACATAGCTTCACACTAGAGTGCAAGAAATATAAGAAGTGCCGACTTTAACGTCAACATGGCATCTACTACCAACGACTGATGGAACATGGCGACAGAACTTAACCGCGTTTCAACTAAAAGGAAGACCGTGGCCAGTCATAGGAAGGTTAGTTAAGTATTTGCCTTAATGTTGGTGTTATCAAAGTTTATGTGTTTGACTTTCTAAATTTGCGCGGCGACATACAAATTACTAAAACAGTGAATATAAACATTAAATATGGTTGTGCAAAGTGCGTACTGCTTTATCGTTATCTCGTACCATACCACCTAATAGAAATATTGATCTCTGAACTCTTATCCGGTCGTAAATAGTTGTAAATTTTCACGATAAAAACAATCAGACCAGTACAAAATTACTACAAAGTATTCAATAATTTCGTACACTAAATAACAACGCATTCGATTTCATACACATGCCTGATAATTGGACACATTCCGTTTAATATTGAACAGCCAGTTCAGTTTGTTCTACTTATTAGTTCGTTGCTGTTGGCCTTTAAGCAGTACAGGCAATTCAAATAGGTCGTACATTGCCAGGTACGAATAAAAGCAAAATTTCAACAAAAAGTCAATCATTAGATTCGTTTTAAAACTGACAACATGAAGTTTTAAACTATCATGTCTGATTATTTCAACTTTTTCATTAGTTGGACGCTAGTGGTTAGTGCGAAGTGTAGGTCTATTTCCTGATCAAAATTTTGGTATACAGGCCTAATTTTCCAACTTTGATCACCCCGCTGAAATATATTTAATAAAAAGCAAGTAGTAACTTATCAATGAAAAGTTTGGCAGTGTGTATATTTTCAGTGATCTGATAAACGTTTTCTCAGTGTTTTCGTAGTACGTCTTGATTACTAGGTAGCAGTCACATTGAACGCAAGGCATTGTGCGTCAGGTAAGCAGGTTAATTTAAATTAAGTATCGCATGTATACTGTTGCCTTTCATAGTGTTTATAGTCATGAATATTATTTACATTAATAACTGCAATTCACTGTAGAGGTCATGGACATGATGACCTGTATAATTTCAGTTTTCGGGGATAAGCCGCATCTAATGTAGAAGATTTTCTAACGTTTCGGAAGCTACTGCTATTGCTATCTTCAGGGAGATTTGGAGACCTAAATATAGATCAGGCAGTTGGTGAGGAGGAGGATGTAAAGAGCGGAGTGGTATCCAATTGAGACCGAATATGTGTTTGAGAAAATAGGTGACGAAAAAACTTTTCAGTTGCTAAGTGAAAATTAGACAAGATGATGAAAGTCACTTCAGTCCCGAAATTCTAACGACACGGAATACCGATCTTCGATTACCATTTATTTTCCATTAAAACCTTTCTCTTATGCTGACTCACAATGAGCCGCTGTTAAAAATTAGCAACAAGAATTCGCTTTACTTCTTATGACAAAACTTACGTCCACGTTTCCGAAAAAACAGTGTTTTAAATTCTTTTGATAAACAACGATTGAGTAATGTTTATGAGCCTGATTAGACAGCCTTATAAGAACAAATTTTAGTTGTCATGAATGGACCAAACAGGCTACCTAATCACATACTCCTAAAGGATATATATTATGGGATATGAAGTGAGTACAAGCTGACAGATCACAGGGCCTACACAGTTTTTTTAGAAATATTAGAAACAAAATAACAAGCGAAAAACTCATAATGGCGTTTATTAAAAGTAAATAAGCAGAAGAGACATCGTCATATTATGTCACAAGTCCAATGGCTACGGCCGTGTCGCGTCTTATAAAAAACTCCCAATGACACTTCAGTGTGAGCCTTTGGTTTCATGCCTCTGCAGGTGTATTACCGAATCGTCAAATATTAACTCAAAATTTGTTTGCTGTAATATGTATAAAGCTTACTGTTACAGAACTTGTCAGTTCGGCCATAATCTAATCTTGAGCTCGAACATCAGAAAGCTCGTTTGTGTTGTTTGTTGAACAAAGACAGCCTTTAAATGCTATTTTTCCTTACTGCTCGTCACTGATAAATAAAATAACAGAGGTCACTGGGAAAACTAATAGGAAAAGGCTTTTCTATTTTACAGCGCATATTTTTATTAAGTAAATATCTAAATGTATTTCGTTAGGTTTCCTTAAGTTGAAGACTTTATTGGTGTTTGAGAACTGAGTACTGTGTAGAATATTTAGACAGAAGACGTTACAAGCAACTGGAGAAAAATGCAAATAGAGGAACTTCATAAAGTGTATTCTTCACCAGATGTTATTAGAGCGATTAAATAAGGAAGGTCACGCAGCTAAAATCATTTCTGTTTCTCACTATTATAATTTGCATATTCAAAAATATAATCGATATTAATTTTTGAAAGAGGCTGTGTTGTTTATGAAAACAAGTCTTATTCACGATGTGACCTTCATTATCTTGGGATAATTTACTGCAACATGAAACAAACAGGCTATGCAATGTCATTTGCGTAATATTCAGCGCGACAGGTCACTGTCAGTATATTTGTCTAGTGCGATAGAGATAGGTCCTTTCAAAACAACCTTACCGAGTACGGAGCATCATCTCAAACATTCTCTGTGGTACACGTTACGCACCATAGCTGAGTCCACAGGCAGATTCTCCTAATTAACATCGGCCTATGAATTTACGCTTTGTTCTCTCAGGGGTTAATTCTTGTTTCGTATGCAGGCTTTCCTGTCAAATTAGACTGGAGCTGATATTCTCGTATTTAATTTAACTGTGGAGCACAGTCCATTTAGAAAAGCTAATAATCGTTCAGATGTTCTTCATTTTCCTGGAGAAACTGGGACCGAGAAAACCGCTACAAATCTCAGTCAGAATAGCCGATAGCTTGAAAACAGGATCTCCGGAATACGAAGCAGCAGTGAAAATGGTTTGTTCGTCAACGGGCTTGAAGTCGACTCAAGTATGCTATCAAAACCTTAGACTTAAGGGTCAATTTTGTCGGTTAAGTAGAATTTTATCTTGTTGCGACAAAACAGGAATAGACAGGAAACGTTTTACATAGCATTTGAAGGACTGGTATGATAACTAATTTTCCAAGGAAGTTGCTGTCATATGAAGCAAGTGCCACTGACTAAAATACAAACATGGAATAAGAAAACAAAAAGGCAGTCGACATTAACCGAACTTTTTCTATTAATGCATCCAACGAAAGAAAAACAAATCTCCTACAGAGACGAAGAGCACCGCGTGGAGGTGTACTTGGCATTATAATCCCTATGGAGGGTTGATTCTTCATTTTTGGCTATCTC